GTGTGTGTGTGTGTGTGTGTGTGTGTGTGTGTGTGTGTGTGTGTGTGTGTGTGTGTGTGTGTGTGTGTGTGTGTGTGTTTGGGCTTATTAACTCGTAACTCACCTTTGACAAGGGTATGTTTGTCTGTTGGTGAAGACCGAGCCAGCACACGCAGTTTGGGCCAGATTTTATCAATTCGCTCCTGTTCAATCTGCAGGCACATGGAAAAGGGCAGATGGATTCAACAAATAATATTGCTCACTTCTTTCACTGGTAATTACCAGATTACAATATAGCAGCTTGGGCTGTTAAAAAAAAAAAAAACAAACAAACAAAAAAAAACGATGACGCACACACCGGCAAGCTGTGTACAATTGACAATGTATGGAAAACTGTCGTGATGAGAAGCTCTTCATCCCACTAAGCATTGCACTCAGCTAATACAAATGTGGGGCAATGTTGCTATTTCATCACAACTTTTTGCCAGTGGCAATTTCTCTCAACATAGTTAATATTATAATTGTTATTCACTCCTTTAACATGCAAAGCAAACGCATCGCACGCACACACGCACGGGGAGAACAACCTCAGAACGTGAGGCAATCCTGCAACGGTATGGCCAATTTAGACATTAGGAAGTTACTTTTTAGTCCATATAAAAGTACTCTTTGTCCCCTTCACAGTGTTAGAAGACAATGCTATGGGATAATGATCGAGTGAATTAGAATCACTACTGTTATTACTGGTATTGGCTGCTGAGATGAAAAGTGTTCTCGGTACATCTAAGGAATCGTGCAGCTTGAAGACATTCTTTTGGAAGAAAACTGCACATGAATGAGTGCACTCACGAAACCCCAACTCACCTCTCCTTTCTCGTTCCTGATTCGTCGGTTGAAGTCTTTGCCCTCGAGACAGATAAAGTCATCCCCAGGGTGGATGATTCCACATTTGGCAGCAATAGCCCTGGCTGTGTTTATGTTATCACCAGTCACCATCCGCACAGTGATGCCCGCACGCTGACACTTGCGGATGGCCTCGGGTACCTTGGAAAAAAAATTGGTTCACACAGAAACGCGTTGAGATTCCGATTCAAAAAATCCGTTTTATTCTCCTACTGCAATATGGATGGCAGCCAGTGGTGACACACTCCTACCTCAGGTCGTACTGGATCCTCAATTCCAACCACAGTGATGCAGGTCAACTCTGTCACTATTTCTGCCTCATTTTCCCAATCGGGCTCTGGATTGGAGGGCAGGTCACGATAAGCAATGCAGATGGTTCTCAGGCCCTCGCATGCCATTGGCTCGATCACCTGTTCAGTAAAATCATCATCAAAAAAACAATGTAGCCAGGAAGAATGTCGAGCAGCTTCAGTATTTTTGGTGGATTTACTCATTATTATACCGGACACCAAAAATATCCATGAAAAACAGCAAATTGTCTTGGTATTCGAAGTTAATGTCGGGTGAGATTTTGAGCGTTTTTGCTGGTATTCTTTCTGACAACGCTGAGAGGGAAAGGCCCCTTCCGCGGATAAGCGCAGACAGCGGAGAAAGACAATATGATGAAGAGCCGGCATGGCATAAAGCTGCCACAACGCAAGCAGAAGAAACGAGCTGGAATACAGTTGTGCAAGGGCAAAAGTTATTTTTCTCATGGCACAAAATGAAGTCGCCATGAGGCAGGTCAGCCGGCCTGCCAATCAAGACAGGACTTGCTCACACTGCTGCAAAATCCAATCTGTTAGTGCAGCAACCACTTGCTCTACGCTGGCGAATACTTTCTACTCCAATGTTTGTTGCACGATATTTCAGTCAACATGTCATTCACCTGTTTGACCATCTCATCTCTGTCCCGTGGGCGGAAACTTCGAGGTTCCCCGTTGGGATCTTGGATGTAAGAACACCTGGTGAGAGAAAGAATGATAAACCGTAGCACAGAAGACCGAACATATGTGTTCATTGACAAATAAGAAGCGATATCACATATTTCCGGGGCTGAGCTTTTCTCTTCCTTTCTACTCACTTTTTCAGCATGATCTCAGAGGCTCCCTTGCTGTAGAGACGGAAGGAACCATCTGGCAGCTTTACCACCGTGCTCATAGATTTACGCACCGAGTTAAAGGTATACACCTGCGATTAAACGGAGAATGATGATCATTCTTCAGAATCAGTAATGCATTCATGTTTGTGGCATGCAATGTGAGGCGTGCAAAAGTCATCCACGGCCTTATTCAAGAGAATTTTATTACGGTGTCAACTACAAGAATTAGCTATGATAAATGTGTTGGTGATAAATGGTGATAAATGTGCCAGCATAAAAAAAAAAAACACAATTTTATGGTGTTCAAATACTCTCCTTTTAATCTGACAGATAAGTGGAGGTTTTTTTTGTTAAAATTGCCCTACTTTACATATTTTGTCATGTTAATTTGTTTTACTCATGCAGGAGCTGTTGTCAGCATAATCCTAACTATCCTGTCAGAATTGAGTTTGCTACAATACCATTTTTTTTTCTTTGTTTGAACTTTATTTGGGTTTCATCAGAGGGGCTTTAAATGGTGGCTGGTGTGTGCTGACTAACATTTAACATGAAGTTGAATGTGACTGCTTAATTGTGAACATAGTCTGTGACATAGTTTGAGTTTGACATCTACGTTGTCGTTTGCATGCAATAGCCTTTGAAAGGCAAAAGCCCGCAAAAGGAGCGGATTTAATTTCGCCATCGTTGTGACTTCGTGGCTGCCACACGCCCATGCAACTCATGCAAAATAGTTGTCCGTGACAACGCATGTGCGTCTTGTGCAAAATGAAAACTTTGCGTCAGCTGCCAAACTCGGAGGAGCTGAGGAATAACTATTACTGCAGAATTAATGACACTTTTATGACGGTGACAGTTTAACCCTGGAAATTCCATGATGATCTCATATAATATGGTGGCTTGATTGTCTCTAAGGTGACAGTGAGGTGCATTCTGAGTCACAAAGCTGACACCATCACAGCTCTTATTCAGAGTGGTGAGTCATTTTCAGCCAGAATTCCAATGATCATGACCGAGACATTTTTGCTATGTAAACAGGTAAAGATGGATGCTGTGGTAGATATCGTCATCCCTACTTTGTAGAGTCTCTCCTCTGGGATCTGCTCTCTGACGGGAGTATAGTCTTGTTGTAGGTCTAATACAAATCCCAGCAGGCCGCATTCCGTCTTGTTGCCCACTTGCTTTGCCAGACCACCCTCCACATCCGGTGGCTGATTGGAAGACAGGCAAATTCAACGCGAGCAGAGGAAATGTACATTTAAAGTCTGTGTCGAGCCATTGGAGTGGAAAAAGCAAACAATGACATCGGTATATGACTCACTAAGATCTTGGAGGTGTAGGCACTGTTGATTGAGATAGCATTGACTAACAGATCCAATGTCCGCGGGTTAATCTGTCCAGGGTCTGGGATCAAGCGGTGGTGCACATCACCTGGGGGACGACAAACGAATACATCTCAATAACTTGAATGGCGATAGCTGACTAAACTATCATCTGATTGATGGTGCATAGTGGGTCGAGGTGAAAAACATTTGTTTGCGTAAAAGATGTTCATGGTGAGATCTCATTTTCTGTTAGAACGCACAAAATGTAATTTGATTTGCATTCAAATTGTGACCTGCATGCAGGATCGGATATTGCTCCTCCATGTGCCCAGACAGAGGAAGCCGCAATTGAGACCTACATGGGACGTAGGCCTATAGGAGCAATAAAGATCAGGCTGTCCCAAGTGACTTTGGGCAAGAGGCCGTGATCCCCTGCACTACAACTTAGCCAATAGCAGGACTCATATGGATAAACAACCATTCAGATTCACATTTAAACCGATGGACAATTTAGAGCAGGGGTGTCAAACTCATTTTTTGTTCCGGGTCACTTCGGAGTTACGGCTTCTTTCGGAGGGCCGATGCAAAATCTCAACGTTATTTATTACCCATGAGAATTTGTCATTTTGGTACAGATTTCAGCAAGGATCATGAAAGTTGACACACATGATTTGCTCCCACGGGCCACAGAAAACAACGTGGCGGGCCAGATCTGGCCCCCGGGCCTTGACTTTGACACCTGTGATTTAGAATTTTCAGTTCATCATGTTTTTGGAATGTGGGAGGTAGCCAAAGCACCCAGTGAAAACCCGTGCGGGGGAGAACTTGTAAACACAACATACAGAATACAACACAACTTCACTTTATTTCCTTTTACATACCTACATAAGCCTGAACCACAGTCATTCGGTTGGTGGTGAGCGTGCCCGTCTTGTCAGAGCAGATGGCTGTGGCATTCCCCATAGTCTCACATGCATCCAGGTGCCGTACAAGGTTGTTGTCCTTCATCATTTTCTACAAAACACAATGGGATGAAAAGCAGATTGAATTCAGCAAGGTCATTAATCACTTGCAATGATGATTGGCATTCGCTGGTAGATTCATACCTGGTACTGCTATCATAATGAGCTGTACAAGTCGAATCGATAGTCAGTCAAAAGCTCACTCAATTTGTTCAATACTGTATCTTATTGCAAAATTACACAGGGCACAATATAATATTTCCATTTGCAAAATTGTGCACCTTTGATAAAGCTACTAATATACCGTATATACTTCTTACTGTGTACCCCAAAACATGAACATGATGGGAAGATTTACAGCCCAGAAATGGGTGTGTGAAACCACCTGACTGGTTTTAGCTTAGGAGGTAAAGGTCATTTTCATTTGATAATTATGTTGTATAGCGAGGCGTGTGGTGTCCATTTTGACCATTCCTCACTGACAAATGGCTAGATTTACAAAACCATTCACCTACATCCACTCATCTTATTTATTGCAACAATTACACTGACTGCTGTCGACTCCGGTGACTCAAACTTTCAACATGAGAGCCAACTTCTCATTTCCCTTATTTGGATGCTTGTTCTAAAAATATCAATTTAGGATGCAGCTTACCTTGACAGAGTAAGCCAGAGAGATTGTAACAGCAAGCGGTAACCCTTCTGGGACCGCCACCACCAACACAGTGACTCCAATGATGAAAAACTTGACAAAGTATTGGATGTAAACCGGAGTGCATTCTGTCACCCATGCATGACCTGCAAGACACAACATATTAAAATTTTAAAGTTGGGTGCAACATGATGGTGACAAATCTGCTAAAATGCACACACGCACGCGCACACACACACACACACACACACACACACACACACACACACACACACACACACACACACACACACACACACACACACACACACACACACACACAGACCTTCAACGACAAAGGTGTCGATGACAAAGTAGAGCACCAGGATGATGACAGTGATTGCGGACATCACCAAACCTATGAAAGAATATTCAGCTGGTTAATCAGTCAGTCCGTTCTATTATATAGTTTGCAAAGGTCTTTCAGATGTTCCCGAAGTAATGCAAACCATGCCTCCTCACACCTGACTGTGTCTTTAATAGATCATTCAGTACAGAGATGAAAATGGTGCGCACCTGCTTTTCCAATTTGAACCGCAAGTTTGGTAAGCTTGCCCTGCAAGACACTCTTCTCCTTTTTCGGTACGTTGGTCTTCTTCTTCTCTCTGTCCTCGACTTCCCCTCCCTCTGCGCTCTTTAGGGGTTGCATCTCCATGGCGACACCTCCATCCTGCTTCTTGGCTAAATCAAACACACAAAACTATATACTGTAGTAACACTAAGATTAATCCTACATTTCAGACTGCTGGGAAAAACATTCCACTTTCAAGTTCCAGATTTTGAAAGTCAACAAAAAAAACACGAATGCCAACCTAAGCGTGTCATTTAGCATCAGTCTCAAGTAGGGAGCTGAAATCTGATTATTCTGCCAACAGCCTCATCCATACATTCATTCATTTTCTGTGCCGCTTATAGACGGGGTTGTGGGTGTGCTGCAGCCGATCCCAGCTGACGCTGGCGGGGCACATCCTGAACTGGTCACAACCCAGTCGCAGTGCGGAGATATAAAAACAAGCATTCATGTGCACATTTACCCCTGTGGAAAATTTTTGAATCTTCAATCAATCTTAATATACGGTACATATTGATGGTATCTGAGAGGAAGCCAGAGTTGAAAGAGAAAACCAAAAGATCATGGAAAGGGGAGGGAGGGGCATGCAAACTCCACACCATTGTTGTATGATGTCAGGTTGCTCCATCCCCTTGTTTTAGGAACAAAAACACGCGCAAATCACATGCGGTTTTTACCTTTGTTCTGGTTGTTCTCCACTGCGCCGTCGGGTTGTTTTCCTGCAAAAATCAGGGTCAGACACGAGGACAAGAATGTAGAAGGATAGATTTGTGTTAAATTGTGCAGTTCGGATGTGATGTTGATAGGCAACAACACATTTGCAACCCACACAGAAACAATATTGAAAGGGAAGAGTCATAAAGACACACACATTGTCTAACACTTGGTGAAGTGACATTATACAGTACATGTGTAAGTCCTTCATGGATCATTGACACTGTCACGCCACTAGGTACTGGGGTCTGTTTACCATAAAGGGAGCAAAGAGGGCAGGACAGACAACTGTGTGCTCACATACCATTGGTGACTGTGCTGTAACTTGCATCTGTGGAGATGAGCAACTGAGTATTGTCCTCTGTTTGGGCCATTGTGTGGGGAAAGAAGGTTTTGAGGACACATGAGTGAATTTGACCAAAAGGGGGAAATTAAAAGAGAATAAAGGGGAGTATTTAAAAAAAAAAAAAAAAAAAAAAATCAAAGTCCCCCTCCAAAAATGCATCTATTTCAAAAATTAGATTCTATTTCATGTCAAAAGACGCATGTGTAAAACATGAACGATAAATCAAAAAGAAATGCATACCCACTTCATAAGGACAAATAACAATTCAGGACATGAAGCTTACTAAATAATACATTAGCTCCAGTAAATGACTGCCTGAATGGTTGAGGCTGCAAAGATTGCTGCCACATCTGCACTCTGCAACACCACTTATACTAGAACAAAAACAAGCACAACTGTGGGCTATTATTTTTCTTTATCCGTCGTTGCTGTACACCACTCAATTCCAGGTTGCTACAAAATATTTTTTTCCAACGTGAGGATGCAGATGTCTCGCACTTTCCTGACTACTGCACTCACGGGGGTATGGATAGCGGTATGGTGTAACGATATTATCATTAAGTGCTTCTGAAAGTATGCGAAGCCTCTGCTCGGACTGCAGGACGGACAACATCACAAACGAATTTGAACGGAAGACTAATGCTTCACGTCTTGACCAAGCAACACTCTTTCCAGAGTGTCTCTGGCTCCCTAGGCTGTCCGCTGCTCTTTCAATAATTGATTCAATCTGCAGACTCGCTCTCAGATTAGGGGAGGCAAGCATGGGAGAAAGTGAAAGAGGGCAAGAGTGGTGGTAAACAAGTAGGTAAGAGCAAGTAAGGGTAATAGAGGAAGATGGATAAGCAACGGGGTGAAGGCGTGACGACGCGAGACAGCAAAAAGGGAAAGAGGGAGCGGAGAGGATGTGGGCTAAATTATTGATGAGGTTAAACTGGCATGCTTCCTGTTGATGGCTCTTATCTCAAATCAGTTAGGTACACCCTATCTCTCTCTCTCTCTCTCTCTCTCTCTCTCTCTATTACACACACCATATTGCGTACACATTCTACACATTCACTGAGTTTAAGAGCAGGTGAAAGTATTCATGCCCTGCGATTGGGCTAGTTTCTCTCATTAGAATTTGTGAGAATTAGATCAAGTCTTCTACCTCCCTTGTGATATTGTATCCCATCCTTTATCCTCACAAGGGTCGCGGGGGGTGCTGGAGCCTATCCCAGCCGTCTTCGGGCAGTAGGCGGGGGACACCCTAAACCAGTTGCCAGCTAATTGCAGGTCACACAGAGACGAACAACCATCCGCGCTCACACTCACAACTAGGGACAATTTCGAGTGTTCAATCAGCCTGCCATGCAAGTTTTTTGGAATGTGGGAGGAAACCGGAATACCCGGAGAAAACCCACTCAGGCCCGAGGAGAACATGCAAACTTCACACAGGGAGGCCGGAGCTGGAATTGAACCCAGTACCTCTGCACTGTGAGGTCGACGCGCTAACCACTGGCCCACCGGGCTGCCTGATATTGTATCCCAGATATCTAAAACCATTGTTGGATATTTGGAATGTAATGGCGCCATCCTGCAACAAGAGGGCCAGATCGTTCACTGCGAAGCAGTTTGGCCCACAGAAATCACATCACGCATTGGATCTTTTTGGCGCAACGCAAGAGCCTTGGCTAAAATTTTCACATCGCTATATAAAAGGGATCTGAGCCACATTCGGTTTCAATTTTATTTGATGTTTCAATCATGTTATGTGGGAGTAGATTTAGGGAGTGCAAGATCTTATAACACTGGGACATGGTCTGATTCTATTATAGTTGAGTATTTAGCTGTAGGTAAAGAAAGAGGTTCTGATCAAAAATGGTCTATTCTGCTGTAAGAATGATGTACGGAGGAGAAAAAGGAGAATGCCTTGCTTCAAAATAGGAAACAGGAAATGCCACGGATCAACACACCCTATCTGTTCCATAAAGGTTGCTAGTAGCTTGGTCATTTTAGAACTGCCTGTGGGTGTAGGATTGGAGCTTTTGTGTACAGTGTCCATCACGCTGTTTAAGATCCGCCCCAAAAATTGGTTGATGGGAATTTAAATGTGGTATCAATGAAATAAGTTTTCCCATGAATTTACCGTCGTCCCAATTTGGGGCACAACTGTTTACCATAATGACTGGTTTGTAATATAGGACCCCATAACAATCACAAATCTACCTTCTGGATCTAAGGTGACATTGGTTGCACTAAATTGGATTTTCTTCTGCAGAAAAATGGCAGTGCCACGTGATCGGGAGTCAAGACGAGAGTGGAACGTGTGGCCTGCCCAGCCTTTCTTCAATCTAAATTGATCTCTCGATAAAAAATGGGTTTCCTGGAGAAATGCAATATCACATCTCACACGGTTAAGATGATTAAATACCCTGGCTCTCCTAACAGGCCCATTAAGTCCTTTAACATCCCAACCGACAAATCGTATAGCAGTCAAGTCTTTGCGCCATCATTTTTCATATCTACCCGTAAAAATAATACCAACAATGACAGTACAATACAGCAACAGAATTCCGATCCTTCCACTGTTTCCTGTCCGGGACAAAAGTGCAAATAGCAAACATTTACAGGTGCCCTTCCCCATAACCCTGTCATAAACCCCAAAAACAAAACTAACAAAAAATAGCCTCTTCTCAGAGGTAAGCTGCAGCCTAAAAATTTTACTTCAAGACTCCCTCTTGAACTAGTAGGTGGAGCAGTAACCATGAAGGCTCCCGACACTTTGAGCATAGGGGCTTTTTAACACTTACAAATCGAACACACAAAACCATAATCAACCCGATGCCTAATCAAGCAGTTCATTTTGTGCATGGAATCAACAAATAAATAAATAAATAATAATAATAATAATAGTGAATAAAATAAGAATACAGTATAAGAACCCACAGCATCTATGAATTAAAAAAATGCAAATACAATTCCCCTACATATAAATATACGCCTGTGGCAGCAAACGAGGTGCTTCACAAATCACCCACATCTAGCATGCTTCTCATATCAGTAAGGCAACGTCTTCCTTTATTGAGGTCCTCTGTTTGGCAAATTCTGCAATTGGCCAGTGGCAAACGTCGCGGTCCAGGCGTATTCACCTGGGTTAGCCGCGGTAGGGGGATTGCTAGCCGTGAATGAAGCTAGCTTATTAGCAGCACGCGTCGCCGGTGTATGGGCGTTCTTTGAGGATTTTTTGTTCTTTGAGTTGCTCATTCTGCAAGATATAGTCTTCGGTTAAACTAAAAATGTGCGGTGGTGCTAAAAAGTCGAGTCAAAGTGTTATCAAGTGTGAAAAGAAGAAGGAGCGCATCGGGAGCCTTCAACTACACGTCTTCATATCACCACCGGAAGTCCTACCTTTTTTTTCTTTGCCATCTTCCTCCACGTCTCCAGCTCCCAGCAGAGTGAAAATGATGCCTGTTTGCGAGTTGACACCAACAGCCGTCACCAGCATGCGGCCTGAACCCTCCATCACATGTGTACCTAAAGGTCCAAAGAGAAGTAATTTCGGAACTGGTGTTTCTGTTATGTGGACCCACACACAAAAACACAGAGGAAGGTGCTGACGTCTTGGATGACACTGCCACCAGAGCTAGTGAGCAAACTAACTAACTGTTAGCTCACTAACTCGTTAGCTTCCTGGCTAGCCAATTGTAAGTACATTGAGATGAGATCATTAATAGTATTCATGCTTTTGGTTTGGTGGTGTGCTGTGAGATCTTTCTAATACAAAATGGGTGCCTTGGCTCAATAAAGACTGCTTTACACTAAGAGCACTAAAGTCATAATGAATGTACTGTATGTACTAACATGATCAAATAGGTAAGAATTATGCTTTGCATCCAAAAGTAAATCCTATGTAGCCCAAAATATGACTTCATTTTTGTTTTATCGTGCTTTTCTTTACAACAGTGCTCAAAGACCTTTATATGTGGCCTCATTCAGCCATTCCTGATTCCACTGACAAAGGCTGCTTTCATTAGACACCACATCCTGGCACCCCTCCGATTACCAAAATGTACCAACTTTGAATGATAGTGAAAGCCACAATGAGAAACATGTGAAAACATACCTGAGAGCAGCATGGGGTCCTTATCCACAGACTTGCGTACATGGTCTGACTCTCCTGTTAGGGAGCTCTCATCAATCTTCAGATCATTACCTTGAACTAAAATACCATCGGCTGGCAGCAGGTCCCCTGAAAACAGACAAGAGCTTGATTCACTTCATTACCCTCACCAAATGTCTGGACTTTTTGTTACAATGGTTCAACATTCTGCGATATACTGTTCACTCATTGTGGCTTAAAAGAATACCAAATGTAACGCTATGTGTATGCGGAGTTAGTAGGTGTTAAAAGCAAACCAAGTTTCATCTGGATCTGATCCATATTGAGCCTTTGGTGGGAATTCAAACGAAAAGTGCATTTAATTTGCTCATACATTTACATTATTGTGATCAGGTTATATTCTGTTGAGTTTGTATTGGATGTCATATTATGATATGTTTTTTCCATCAATCCATAACAAATGGATTTGTTTTTCCTCACTTTACGTACAAAGATTATTCATTCACTCAATTTACAGATGGCAAATGTTTGAGCCTCATGGATGTTTGTAAGCACTCTGTCTTCTTGTGTTGAAATTATGCCGGGTAACACATGTTCAGTGGGTTTTGTTATTTTGATTTGAATTTGATTAAAAAAATTCATTTTGCTAGAGTAAAGACTCAAATGAATAATGCTCACTTGACATGGTAGTTACAGTACATATTGTAAAAACATGCCCTGCATACTCTTGTGATAAAGACTTCACAACCGGCTCACCATATTTGACCTGGGCCATGTCCCCCACCACCATGTCAGCCACAGGAATCTGGATGACGTTTCCTTTCCGTACCACGGTGAACTTTTGTTCCTGCTCGATTCGACTCTGTAGACCCCGAAACTGCTTCTCTTTGGACCAGTCGTTGAAGGCCGTCACCAGGACAACACAAGCCACAGATAGTAGAATGGCCGCACCCTCGATCCAATTGGCTTCCCCCTCACCTTCATCCTCTGCTCCTGCCGACACGTTGCCACATGCTGGACAGACAGAAACATGTGGCTCATGGCAGAGACTCAAAGCGGAGACGTGAAAAACAGATAACACGTGATATGATGAGTTTGATCAAGACTGAAAACTTTTGTCTACTCATCCCTTTCACATTATATCATGCAGAGTGAGTTGCAAGACTGGAAATGCGAATGATGAAGTCATTCTTCGAAAAAAAAAAAATCACATTGGGCCCCACCATTGCCATCTAGCAAATCAAAGATGCTACTTTCTAGGACCTTTGCCAGTCACGGGCCCTTAGAATCGTTATGGCTCCTCTCCACATTACGGCATCCCTGCCCCCTCCCTCGTCTTACACTCTGAATCCTCTCCAGGCGGCTGGTAAAAAGAAAGGGCGAGGGAGATGATTGCAGCGATCTCCAAAATGATGAGCGTGACATCTTGCAGGGCCTCCCACACGAGCTCAAGGAACGTCTTGGGCTTCTTTGGGGGGATGAAGTTTTGGCCAAAGGTCTGACAGCGACGTTCCAAGTCCGCTGGATCCCCGCTGAGACCTGACAGAGAAAGAAGGAGAGTGAAGACGGGCAGAACCAGAAGAAGGAACCACTTCCATTTTCATAATATACCTTGAAATCCCATATGGATAGTAACCAGGATACACCGAGACGCACAATCACAATCAGACACGTACAACCAACACCTCCATCTTCGCTACGTCGTGTGAGTTGGAGCCTATCCCAGCCAACTTGGGGCAACCTGGACTAAACAGCACTCGATCGCAGGGCACATATAGCGAATACGACCATTCACACAGACGCATGATTGGGGGTGGAAAAGCGGTCTACAAGTACCCATTATACAGCATCCAACTGAACATCATCCACAAGTGGAGATCTTGCAGTTCCTTTTCAACATACTTTGCATACGCCAATCTCCTGCATGGACTCCAGTGAGGGAGTCCACAATGCTTCCGCTATGTCGACTGCGCGCCTCATCTGCGCTGTATTAAAAGAGAATAAGTTAGCTGTGTGTACTCCCACAACGGTGCAACCGCCTATTTCTGACTGCACCCGTCTACGATAATATCAAAAGAAAGAAAACTCCAACCATACGCAGAGTTAGACTGCGATTTTTGCTAGACTTGCGCCAGGCACGAAAATAGAGCCCAAGGTATTTTGAAATCTGTTAGAATTACCAAACAGCGTAAGTTACTCGTTACGGAGCTGTTTATCCTTTGTAAATGTTCCCCTTACCCCTTGTCCAATGACTAATATTGATAAGTAAAGATTATGGATACATTAATGTCTATCATGAACTAAAAAGAGTGAATTGGAGAAAATTCTCCAATTTCCTTTGCTAGATAAAGTCCTTCAAATCCTTCTTGACGACTGTTATCAAACACGTGAATCATCTCAACGCTTTGACAAGAACCACTTTAATACTCATCTCTTTGTGATCAAAATTGTCACTTGTGTTACATACACCCCACTGCATTCTCTAAGACTGACACTGACGGCAGTGCAAAAACAGCATCCGGCTCTTGCTGCCGGGTATAGGCATATTTATTATCGTGAAAAAAGGTAACATTTTTTCGTAGTTTTGATAAAAAAAAAATAAAAAAAAAACTGTGTGTTTTCCTCTTGCCTTCCACTCTTCTCCACTTTACACTCATAACGTGTGCCAAAAAGTTGATTTTGCTGATGTATTCCTGAATCAGATCTGCACACGGGACATACAAAGGACTGCGCAAAGGGAACGAAAGCATTGAAACAATAGATGAAGCATTTTTATGTGTTTTTAAATGTGTGAATTACAACTAAAACAAGAAAATTCACTTTAAATCAAACAAAACATTATTAATCCATTTTCATGAGACATTTGGGGGGAGGGGGGGCTCCACTGGAATTGGCAATTGCCAGAGGCCTGCATGTTCCTATTGGTGCGTCTGCCCCTGCATCCATCCAAACCATCCAACCATTTTGCACAGCGCACATCATGTTGCTTTTCGGTGAAAGAAAGACTACACACTGGAGTGGCCACCAGTCCATCACAGGGCACAGAGAGACCACCATTCACACTTTCATTCATACCATCAGTGAGGGGAAAGTGAAGTGTAGCGCTACACCACCAAACACAAACAAAAACTTTTGGATGTTTTTTTTTTCGGGAGGTGGGGGGACAGAAATCTTTGAAATCAACTCCAAGGTTATTTTTCCCTGCCCAAATTTGAAGTTGTTTTGCTGAACCTCCTCTCCTCTTCAACTTCCCAATTAAGTGATGCGGTTTCCATGGCGATCAGTATATCAGGTCCCGGGCTTCCTGTCTCTAACAGGTTTCTGCCCAGCAACAAGTGATGTAATTCCTCCAGTGTGCAATGTTTGGATTTTTCTTTTGTTTGTGTGATGCATTTTTTTGGGGGGGGGGGGGTCGGCTGCCAGGGTAGGAGAACAGCAATGTGCCTGCAGTGGTTGGCTTAGAGCGATGACACGCTTTTGTGTACGTGTGTTGTTTGCAGATATTGTGCGTTTGCTGCAGCGACTGCTGCTCACGGCCTTGAACAAATGTGCGACAATAAAGTATGACACCCAACAGGGTTCAGGACAAGGCGACATACAGAGAGTGAGGGAGGCAGAAAACAGGTGATGCTGACTAATGGTCGCACGGTTGTTTTCGCGTCGATGTTGTCCAGCCCTCCTCTCTCTCTCTCTCTCTCTCTCTCTCTCTCTCTCTCTCTCTCTCTCTCTCTCTCTCTCTCTCTCTCTCACACATCCATCTCTCCATCCCTCTGCACTCATTCTCTCTGCTTGGCTCCCTTCTCTTACCTCCCTCGCTCTATCTCCCCTTGATGTGTCCTTGACAATGCGGCAAGCTGTTCTAGCTTCCTCTTCTCTCCCCCCCATCTCGCACATGCTCCTTTCTCTCCCCGTTTTTTCCATAATTGCTCCTCATCCTCCTCGTGCTGTCTTGAATGTGGATATAATGGTCTCATACTGCAACGCTGAGTGTCCATATCAGAGTGTGTGTGTGTGTGTGTGTGTGTGTGTGTGTGTGTGTGTGTGTGTGTGTGTGTGTGTGTGTGTGTGTGTGTGTGTGTGTGTGTGTGTGTGCGTGTGTTCGCTCTCCTCTTCTCCATCATATTACAGGTAATGCTCTGAATCATTATGTATATTTGCAGGGATACATTCACCAGGTGGTTGCCTCCTGTGCAATGCCCCGAATTTGATGATTCATTGTAACTGGAAAACACACAAGCTCACAATTCTGCTTTGTAATTGCTGTTCTTGGGATATCGAAGCTTTTTTGCTGAGACAAATATGAAAAAAAAAGGAGGGGGGAGGACCGGTGGGCGGGGGCAGGGGGCTCCTAAAGACCAAATATGGTTTGTGCAAACAATGATGCATGCAGCAATATACATCAGACTGGGTCCGCAAATACAGGGCGCCCCACAAGCCAGTGTGTTTCACGTGTCATTTGGAGAGGCATGAGGCCATCAGCATCTGACAGTTGAGGCTTTGCAATCTTGGTAAGCATACTATTCCCTTGCCCAAGGCTCACCAGTTGACATTGGAGCAGCATTGCAAAAACTGCCGCCTGGCCAACAGTTTTTCTGTCCCCAAATGCAGTTCATCACCAAGCAGTTTGAGAAGCTCTAAGTATGTCTGTCACATTGCTCCAATGTGGAGAACAATTTCTGCTTATCCATGGCAAGTTTTTTTTTTTTTTAATCACTAAATTCCAAGAAAAGACTTCCATGCAAAGCCTGGAAAAGTATGGGAGAGCTGCACTGAATCTCAGCTTCAACAAAAGCTCGGTTCAGGAGAGGTATCACAGCGTGATAAAGCTTTACCAACTTCAGGTAAGGCTTTGAGCGAAAGATGATGATGCTTGTTTATATAAATCCGCACTGCCGTTAGCCCAAAGTAAGATGGGATGAGCTCCAGCTCACCCATGACCCCAATGCAGTAAAGAAAATTGATGGATTGACTGATGGATGGGTGGATGGATACATTTGTGTTTTGGCTGCTTTGTCACAACAGAGGACAAAAAATACAATGTTAGAAAGTTTGTTGAGGACGGCAAACTAGGTTTGTGCATCCCCGTGTGCATTGGGTGTTTGTTTGTGTATCCCCGTGTGCAACGAGTGTTTGTTTGCCAGCTGTGGACAACAGTGGCTATATGTGTGTGCTACAGAGAAAGTCTTGCATTACAGTAAGTCACCGGTACAGTCAGTCTTGGTTGAGTGTTGAATAAACTACATAGTCAGATACACGAAGACATCCTCAAATACACTGGCCAGACACAACATTATGATCACTACAAGATCAGTATCAAGTTAATTGATTGCCTTTATACAGATGACACTGCTCAGTTTTGAATGACACTGTCAGAGAGGAATTCATTGAAGACTCTATTTATGATTATGGTTGGAGTTTGCAGTGGTGTACAATTGCACTGCATCATACTGAGAGTTGCTACTAACATCTTTGACAGGAAACTTGAATAGAACACGCCGGGATTTAGTCTCCGGTAGTTTGAATCACTCTAGTATTACAGTACCAAGCAACGACACGATGAACATCTACAACGTAACACCGGAGCCAGAATTGGTGTTCATCCACACCAAAAAAATAACGGTATGTTGAATTTAATCGATTTTACTCTGTAGAGTGGTGGCACACAACAGGATCATCTGGATTTACATACAGTCTACTTTAAAAAAATGTATCTGGATCCAGATGATTTTATTTCATGCAACCACTTCACGAAATAACATTGACCAAATCAAAACACCATTTTTTTCAGTGCATACGTTCTTCCAACTAACAAAACAACATTTCAACTACTGTAGTAAATAACTTGGGCCACAAAGCGGATGTTTTTATTTGAACACGCTTATGCACGCACGTACACACCGATAACCCTGATCTAGCCTCTTAATCTCACAGTTAATTTTGGTTTCTCTCTTGCTAGTTGAAAAAGTTTTGGTGTAGCGCAACCCCTGGAAGAAAATGTAAGTGTGCAAAGGCATTCTGAGTGAACTAAACCACATTACAATCCTCAGCTCAAAACCACAACTGGAAATCACCAGTCAAGATTTGTGATGTTTTTTTTTTTTAGACAGCAAATCAATTTGGAAGGCAAACAGACAAGTTAGTCATAGTCTAAAATAATGTTTGAGGATCCAAAGATGAACCAATGATAAACGCAATCACAAGCATCAAAGTGCAATTTCCCACCAGAATACCCTCCTATTCTTTTCTTGCACACTCTCACTCATCCATTTATTGATTTGGTCGATCAGCTTTCCATTACTAAAATCCCTTCATCCATTCATCAGTCGATGCACCCAACATGTCCCTTTGTGCACTCAACTCAGATAAAGCCGCTTACTCGAGTCTGGATTACACGGTGTGATGAGGAGGTTTGATTATTTTAAGGTTTTTTTTTTCCATGTACAATGTGTTTTGCTCCAACAAAAATAAAGGGTTTCTCAGGCACCCAAACCGCACTTTTCACCAATCAGTTACACTTGAGTTCATTTGAGAATAGGAAGCATTCATTTGTTGCTTTCCACTGTCAGAAGTTGTGTAGAGAACCTGAACAGCTGTGAAATACATTTTAGAATGCCGTTTGAATGGTTTCAATTCATTCATTTGTTTCAAAACAACAACAATCCCACAGGACAAATGGGAACAATGTTCTGTTCTGTGACCTAACGCATGAGAGTGTTTTAAAATCACAAGCACTTGAGAGTACTTTTCATATCGCATTCTAAATAGTACTGTTCAAAAGTCTTGGGCACCTTTAGGCTTGGTACACACATTAGGAGAAGAAGGATTTTTCAAATATGAAAAGACTTTTTTTTTTTTAACTACTGTGACAGCACAACAACTGGTCATGAGGCGTTTGGGCCACTCCTTTCACCCCCGACCAGTCGAGCAAGCCACGTGTGTTCCATGCCTACTCACCGTCAGTGGTGCTGGACTTTAGTCTCTGGCAGAGACCGTCTGTGTCTCCATAGCTATCCTGGATCTTCTGCAGAGCCTCGCCCCCCCTGAGCTCCATCAGCTCCCTCAGCTCCTTCAACGTGACCCCAAAGTCTCCGGCTCCATGGCTCCCGTCTTCCCTTCCTCCTCCACGAGTCGCTTTGGGGTAAAACTCCACGGCGCTGTTAGCCATTTCGCCCATTGTCGCTGTTGTTGACATGACACGAGGTTGGTTTGTGTTGTGTTCGTCCTTCCCCACCTCCTTCCTTAGATGTCCTCAGCTCAGTGACCGGCTTGTGTGCTCGCTGACAGCTTGTTCATGTGTTCAAAAGCCCGTTGCCCTCCCTCTTGATTTCTGATTCAAAACCGTAGAATGATTCTCTTTCGCTTCAATGGCCTTTTGTTGAAGAAGGGGGCGCCGATTGTGCTCTTTTTCTCCTCAGGGTCTCAGCCTGGCCTTCCACTGCTCCTTCACTTCTCCATCACTGGAGGAGGAGGACGGTGGGAGGGGGTGAAGAACAGTGCGAAGGAGCACTCGAGAAGCGCGGTATCTGAACGAATCCAGCTTTCTTCGCCTCCGTCTCTCCTGTCTCCCTCCCTCCGGGTTCACAGCCAGTCCATGGACGGGCGAGCCAGCTGACGCATGTGCGGTTGGGGGTAAAAGGGGATGACGGACAGATGGTGAGTGTGGCCAAAGGCCAAAGTAAGATGATGAATCAGAGAGAAGAAGTGGGTGCAGATGTGAGGTAGGTAGTCGCGACTGCTGCTCCAGAGACCTACGAGACAAGAAGAATCCGACATCATGAGAGCTCACGCAGAGTCAGTGCATCCAATTATAGCTCTGAAGACATTTTAAGCATCAAGACGGAAAAAAACGAGTGAAGATATGTCACTAGACGGCTCACCTTCTCTCACATGCTACCTGACGTACTGTATTTAGTTTATGGCCGCTTGAGGGCAGTGACGCAAACTATAGCCTTTTATTCAATGAAAAAGACATCAAGGAACTTCACCATTGCCTTTGGAATTATATTGTTAGAAAACAATCATTCAAAATATGATAATAATTAGGCATGTTCGACGGCGGCCCGGTAGTCCAGTGGTTAGCACGTCGACTTCACAGTGCTGAGGTACCGGGTTCAATTCCAGCTCCGGCCTCCCTGTGTGGAGTTTGCATGTTCTCCCCGGGCCTGCGTGGGTTTTCTCCGGGTACTCTGGTTTCCTCCCACATTCCAAAAACATGCATGGTAGGCTGATTGAACACTCTGAATTGTCCCTAGGTGTGAATGTGAGCGTGGATGGTTGTTCGTCTCTGTGTGCCCTGCGATTGGCTGGCAACCGATTCAGGGTGTCCCCCGCCTACTGCCCGAAGACAGCTGGGATAGGCTCCAGCACCCCCCGCAACCCTAGTGAGGATCAAGCGGTTCGGAAAATGGATGGATGGATGGATAGGCATGCTCGATAGCAATACTAGTGCAGTACTAGTATTTACTCTTGAGCACTCACTGATACCACTGCCAAGTACCAATACTAGTACTTTGATACATAAAATTTCAATGCGCACAATCACAGATAATGTTGAACAAAAGACCTTGCTGTAATTTTGACACACATGATGAGTCGCCAATGTGTCAAACGACCGCAGTATAGCACCAACTACTGGCAAGGAAAACACATTGGATGTCAGATTTATTTATTTATTTTTCTTGCTTTAAGTATCGGCGGCTGGTGTTGTCCGCCTGTTACAATACCTGGTAATGGTACTCGCCCATCCCTAATAATAAAAATATACGATATATGATGGTGTCACGTTGCGTGGTGTTGGAGGACCCCAAAAAGCAGGCAAGCGGGAGGAGCAGGGTGTACTTGACAAATTGTATTAAAACATAGAGAAAACTAAATCCAAAAGAAAGTCCTAAAAACAAAAAGAATCCAAAGTATCAAACAAAACCCAGGCTGTAGCTAAAACTAACAGTCAACCAAAACATGATCGAGAACATGACCGACAAACATGACAGCTACAGCAAACAAACAATGACCCAACCATGAGTGGTCGTGCCGGGAGTCCTTTTAAAGCAATAATTAGATAACCACCAACAGGTGTGCAGCTGCAGGGGGGAGCCCTACAGTGCCACCTGTTGGTCCCAAACAGAATCATGACAGATGGACTGGGGGAAATCACAGTTTTATGACATGAGGTGTGTGGATCAGTTACGAATACTGTATCTACCAAATATCAATATATATTTTTATCCAGATAAAAAGAAATTAGAAATAAAATAAGAGTAATTTAAAAGGTGTCCTATTTACATACTATGTTTAATTAGGCGCGGCGCGGCAGTCGACTGGTTAGCACATCGGCCTCACAGTGCAGAGGTGAAGGGTTTGATTCCAGTGGGCTTTGTATGTTCTCCCCGTGCCTGCGTGGGTTTTCTCCGGGTACTCTGGTTTCCTCCCACATTCCAAAAACATGCATGGCAGGCTGATTGAACACTCAAAATTGTCCCGGGGTGTGAGTGTGAGCGCGGATGGTTGTTTGTCTCTGTGCGCCCTGTGATTGGCTGGCAACCAGTTCAGGGTGTACCCCGCCTACGGCCTGAAGACACCTGGGATCAGCTCCAGCAAGCCCGCGACCCTCGTGAGGATTAGCGGATTAAAAAAAAAGGATGCATAGATGGATGTTTAAATTAGTCTAGTTTAGGCTCGAGCATACATTGCTATGCATAAGAAGAATCAGGAACATCAGGAACACTACTGGGAACAAATCCAAAACAGTAAAGAGCAGTATCAGAACATTGTTTGGTCATGGAAATCTCTGAGCAGGTAAACATGTCACTGAGGTTGCATGCATTTGGAGTGGTCTTATTCCCATAAGTATCAATATTGGTCCAAAATTCCCTCACTGAAAAAAAAAAAGTCTGATGCCGTACATCGATGCGGCTTTGCACCACTGTAATCACTGTTAGACCCTCAAATTGTCTGGTGGCTCTTCATGCTGAGCTGGCATACGTTTGGCTTTAGAGCTCCCCGCTGCACCTTACAGCAACTCTGAGAAGAGCGCTCGAAAGTTAACGAAAGGAGTGAAGCTTCATACGCAACTGTTCCTCTATGCAACACACATTTGACACGTTTGAAATAGAATGTTCTCAAATGAAATATGCACCTGGAAATGTGGATTCCTGGGACTATAGCATGTCCATACCACATGAGCAATCGGCATCCTCTTTCACATCAAAATTATGAAACAATCTGGCAAATACTGTATATAAAATTAAGAATACCACTTTTTTTCAGACTAATACCAGTGCGACTACTTGAGTCTTGAGTACTCAATAAAAGCGGTAGAGAGAAGTGTTTCCCAACCTTAAGTGAGTCACGGCCCCCATTCCATATTGCGGAAAAAAAAGTCACGAAAAGTATGAATACTGAACGACTGATGATATCATCTCAGAGTACTCCCAAATCAACACTGCAGAGTGTGAAATCTGGACCTGCTTGATTGAGCACAAAGCTAATATACAGGACGCATTGACATAGACTGTTTTTCAAATAACAACGTGTTGATTTTACCTTCTGCCATCTCATGGAAGAGCATTTAAGTGTTCTGACTGTCATGATACATCACTGGTATTAAGACATGAAAAAAGACAGTATACTGTTTATACAATTCATACGCGGCATTTTAAATTCTGATAATATTATTGTAACTATTGTGAGAAACAAAAATATTGTGAGGGGTGGGGGGGGTGGAGATTTGGATACAAACAGTAAGAGGAACGTTCGTGGAACCTATTATGTAACCATCAACCAACCAAACGAACATAACGTTAAGGAAATCCCAACCAAATGTAACTCCCTAGAAATGTTACTCATGTTCCAAGCTAACTTTCCCAAAACGTTTTAGGAACCAAAAATTACTGTTCTCGCTTGGTCCCTTGTGTTTAACCAATCAGATATCTTGTCCACGTGATGCTTGTTGTCACATCACTTTGCTTGTATTTAGTTCAAGTTTATTTATTTATTTTTTGTACTACACACCTTGTTCGCCTTTTGGTTTTTAGTTTTGGAAAATAAATACATATTGTTGAAGTACATCCCGCACTCTGGCCTTAATTGTTCATTCATTTTCCAATCCGCCGATCCTCACGAGGGTAGCGGGGGGTGCTGGAGCCTATCCCAGCTGTCTTCGGGAAGTAAGCGGGGGACACCCTGAACTGGTTGCCAGCCAATCGCAGGGCACACAGAGACAAACTACCATCTGTGCTCACACTCACACCTAGGGACAATTTGGAGTGTTCAATGAGCCTGCCATGCATGTTTTTGGAATGTGGGAGGAAACCAGAGTACCCGGAGAAAACCTACGCAGGCCCGGGGAAAACATGCAAACTCCACACAGGGAGGCCGGAGTTGGAATTTAACCTGGTACCTCTGCACTGTGAGGTCGACGCACTAACCACTGGCCCACCGGGCCGCCCAGCCTTAATTGTCTTCTTGCTTTTCTGCACTTGGGTCCACCTCTTGTATCTACACCGCGCAAACCCATCCATGACATGAGCTTTTCATGAACAGCAGTTAATAGTTGATGTTTTTTTTTTTTCCAAGATAAATGAGAACACTTAATAGTCCCGGTAATGTTGAAGCAGAAACTGTCCATCAGGGTGGGTCCACTTTTGACAATCTTGAAAATAAGAGCTGCCCTGATGCAAGCTGCTCTCATCGAACGCCCTCTACATAATTTCCTAATTGTGGAATTCATGTTTCAAACCATCTCTGGAGATGATTTAATTAAAAATAACTCTGACATCAACAGTGTTCTGTGCAGCCCGGGAGCTTGCGTTGCTTCCACTATCCCGAAGCTTGCTTCATCCCCACATGAGCAATTACTGAGACTGTGACTGTGCTGAATACTGTCAGCATCACACGTGTCATGCACATGCACACGCGCGCGCGCGCACACACACACACACACACACACACACACACACACACACACACACACACACACACACGCACTCACGCACGCGCACACACACACACACACTATTCTGATGAGGCTATTTTACATCAGGAGAAGCATGAAAGGGAAAAAAAAAGCCCAATTGAAGCTCATAATGAATTCTTTGTCTCCTCCCTCCTTTCCACTCCTCGCCCTCTCTGGGCTCTGTCATGCATCTCGTCCCCCTCCCGCCCCC